ATCTACCTCTCTGGAGGAGTGTCCTTGCTGGGTGAAAGCCTTTTTAAGATTGGTGAGGTGGCAATCCCGGGTGTTCTCTTCAGTACAAATGCGGTGGTATCTGAGGGCTTGGCTGTATATCACAGCTTTTTTGGTGTGTTTAGGGTGATTGCTGGTTCTGTGCAGATATGTATGTTGGTCTGTGGGTTTCTTGTATACTGTGGTCTGTATTTTACCCTTCTGGATACTGATCCTTGTGTCTAAAAAGGGGATGTTGGTGCTGGAGTATTCTAGAGAAAGTTGGATGGAGGGATGGTGATTGTTGAATTTCTGTTGGAACTCAATCAGATTGTAGGTTTTCAGTCCAAATTATGATGTCATCGATGTATCTTAAGTATAGCAAGGGTTTGATGGTGCAGTTCTTGAGGAAGTCTTTTTCCAGGTGGCTCATAAAAAGGTTGGCATACTGTGTGGGGCCATTTTAGTGCCCATAGCTGTTCCCATCATCTGGAGGAAGTGTTGATTATTAAAAGTGAAATTGTTGTGTGTGAGGATGAAGTGTATAAGGTCAGTAATATCTTTGGGCCAGTATTCTGAGTTGTAATCTTGTTCCTGTAGATATGTAAGGCAGGCTTGGATGCCATCCTGGTGTGGGATGTTGGTATATAGGCTGGTAACGTCCATGGTGGCTAGGAGTGTGTTTTTAGAACCCATGTCCATCTGTGCTACTAGTGGTATCCTTTCTGAGGATGCTCAGAAGGGATCAGTTACAGTCACTTTATGTTCTGTGGTGAGCCTGTTCCACCCACCTTTTAGCCCAGTAGCCTAGTGGGTAGGATACCTGACCAAAAATGGGACATCCAGCTTCTAGGCTCCTGTATCTAGGAAATTCTATATAGAGCCTTGAAAACTGTCCATCCGTTGTACTGATGCTTACAACCAAGGGAGGAAGATGCATAGGAAAACAATCAGATGGAATTTAGCTTTGGAGTCTAGCTTCTGCTCCCAGTACTGTCTTGTCTTTTTTTTTTTAATCTAATTACTATTAAGTACAAAATACAGAAATATCATTTGTCAGCCTTCTCGAGTTTTTTTTTGTTTTGTTTTTTTGGGGTTTTTTTGAGAAGGCTCCAAACACAGCTGATGCATAGCTGTTTTTTCTTATGCTGGCCTACCTCCTGTTGTTATTAACATCATAGGAGCTACAAATGGAAGAACCAGAAGTGTTACTGTGATAATTCTCAGAATTCATTCAGGGAAGTCTTGAGTTCTGTGTTATGCAGCAAGTCACCCTATTGATGACCCTATTGGTCCCTTCTGGCCTTGTGATCTAAATTTCTCCATCTGACTCACTGCAGTTTTGGATAACTTTGATTTAGCTTAGACAGTGCTAAGAGATGCTTTAGTAATGTGTACAGATATTATTTATTATTTCAGTAGTGTCTAGCATCTTCAGTCCTGAACAAGACTACCTCTGCCTCTTATCTGTGGAAGATGCAGATATACCTATATGTACTTAAGGGGACTTGTGGGGTTTACATAAATTCTGAAATCCTGGAATGAGAGATGCTATAGAAATACAAAGTTGATTTTACCCTCTTTTATGAAAGGGAGATCTTAAAAGCTATCGTTATGAACTTTATGGGAAGGAAAGGTGTAGAACTGATCCAGAAGTATTTTGTTTAAACATGTGGACCAAATCCTCTCTCACCTACTAGGCATTTGATAGCACTTATGCATCTAAGGATCTAATATAATTCTACTCCACCCTAGCCACGATTCTGAAAAAAACTCCTTTTGTAACTTACCTCTATCTTAGCCTTAAAATTAAATCACAAAGGGTGGCAGGGAGGAAGAGGAGTGGGGCACGAAGAAAGAGGATCCATCCACTTTTTCTGTCCTTAAACATTGTTTTTAGGTTAATGGATCAAGGTTTGTTGGGTGATATAGTAAAAACCCAGGATCTTCCACATATCGTAGTGTTTGTTGCCAAGAACCCATCTGGTTATCACCTAGCTTGGAAGTTTCTGAAGGAAAATTGGAATAAGCTTGCACAAAAGTAAGTAGCACAGATTGGTCTACTTCTCATTTTACCTCACTGACATTTTTAAGGTATCTCTGTTGTAAACAGAATGTTTGATAAATCTCAGTGGCTGTTTTTGCTAGGTTTGAACTTGGCTCGCACTCCATAGCGGGGATGGTAATTGGAGTGACAAACCAATACTCTACAAGAGAACAGCTTGCACAGGTAAACAAATCCTTTCTTCACATGGTGCCTTCTGTGTTCAGTAGGTAGTAACAGTTTACTGAAACTGCAGCCTAGAATTAAACCTTAGAATCGGAAAAACATGAGAAGTTATAAAGCATGGGAGTGGTACCTGTAGCTCTCCTGGCAAGTGGAAACTTTGATTACTGTAGGCTCCTTCCATAGATAACCATGTGTCAAAATAGCAAGTTGAAATGATGGCCTTGTGACCAAGGCAAGAAACACAATACCTGGGTCTTCCTCTGAGCTGTTCCATACTTCCTCAGCTGTACACCTTCATATGTAACATAGGAGTAATATTTGTCAGGGAATTTGTGAACATGTTGTAAACCTATTACTGCTTATACTTTGAGTCAAGCCTCATCACTGATATTAGAGATGATAAAGAAATGACACATGAGCACTGCTCTCCCCAGTCATGGAGGTGAGATGCAGTTATATTTAGCTGCATATTGCACAGTCCCTTTCATCAGCATCAGAAACCACAGTTGCTCCATATACAGTTTTGAAAACTTCCATAGGAGTTCCTGGAAGTTTTTATGATAGCATTTGTTGTCAGTATGAGATTCTTTGGTATATGGAATATGTGGATGCAGAAAAATTAACTATACTTAATATCAGACTAAAGAATACAGGGAACTATACTAAAAAGTTCTACTTTTTCATTGTTACTGAAATTGTATAAAAAATTGTATTTTTACAACCTGTTTTTGGGAACCTCTCTTGAAACCCAATTTGAAAGGTAGACAGGGAAAAAAAAACCCTTTGCCTTCAGCAAGTCAGGATCAGGTTTCAAAATCTGGAATTCCTTTCTGCTCATCTAGTGCAATTAATTACCAGCCACTGCTGCCTCTTAATCATGAACTGTTTACTTGGTAGGTGAAAGAATTCTTCAGTTCTCTGGATGAAAAAAGTTCATATCTCCGTTGTATCCAACAAGCAATAGAAATAATTGAAGAAAATATACGATGGATGGATATAAACTTTGAGCAAATCAAACTATGGCTACAAAACAACAAAATATAAATGACTGATTTTGGCTCCCAGTTGTTGAAAACAACACTGACATAATGTGAATATCTGAAAAAACAAAGAGCTCAGTTTTTTTAATTTGTCACTTCAGACACAAATAACCTAAGCCTAATACTTTATTTACTCAAATAAAAGATGACCCCTTTGTTATAATTTTCCAGGTATAGAATCTAATTATTGAATGTTTGCCTTTAATTTGTCCCCCTTCCAGCAGGAAAAATAAATATAGGGGGATCACTCCCTTGCCCTTTGCTGCCCCCCAGCTTTCTTCTCCTGCAGCTCCTTCCCCACTTCCTTATTGTCAGACCCTGATCTCCCTGAGCACATGAAAGTGAGAGGTAAATTTGAAAACACTGGCCTTGAAATAAGCATGCCTATAGTAATGTGCATATAGACAAATTATTATGGGTATGCATAGACTTAGTTCATCCAGAATTCATGCAATTTACCTTACCTGACTTGAAATGGAGCTGGCACTGAGGGGGACTGCACAGTAATGGGCACTACCATATATCTTATTCAGGTGGGCTAAAAAAAATTGTGAGAGGTTCCTAACATGTTTTTCCAATGTGAGCAATGTGTTTTATAGCCATGCTCAGTATTGGCTTCATTTAATCAACTTCATAGTTGGTTTCCATTACTGAACACATGCTGCTTTTGGCAATAGTTCATTATATACATTGTCTAGATATTAAAGTGTTTTTTGTATGCAAATGTGAGAGGAAAGGCTTTTTTCCCCTATGCTGACTCGGGGAAAACAACCTTGTCCTGTATTTTGAGTAAATATGGTATTATTTTGGCTGGGTTGTGAGGGATGGGGAAGAGGGAGGTGTTTTGTTGTATTTTGGTCTTTTGTTATTAGATTCCAGTCAGACCTGGATTGGACCCTCAATCTATGTTTTTAATGCGATAACAAGTCTGTCCAACATCAGAGCCCAGGGGCTGCAGGCTACACAAGAAGTCACATGTCCTTGGCTGCACAGTATGCAAGTTGCACTGGCTCCCCAGCATCTCAATGTGTGCAGCCCATCCCTGCCACCCAAGCAGCATGAGTCCCCTGCTGCCACCACCATGCTTGGGTTTCTTTTCCCCTCCCCTCACTGACTTGTAAGAAGCATGAGCCCCTCTGCCATGCTGGTGATCATTCTTCCACTGCTGCTGCATGAGCCCCTTGCTGCTACCACCACACGGGCAGTCTCCTTACCTTGCTGCCATGTGATACCCCTTCTGCCACTACTGTGCAGGCTATTCCCCCTTCCCTCCAGCTGCTGCTGCATGAGAAGCGCTAGACCCCTTCTCAAACCCTCCCATTGGCTGTGATGCGGGCAGCAAGCTCAGGAGACCTCTTGCAATGCCATCCTGCCCCAGAGACCCCAGCTGCTGCCACCACACCCGGAGCCATAGGAGCTTCGATGGCCAGGTGGGATTTTGGGGGCTGCATGTTAACCCTATATGGGTCAGACGTGACCTGCAGGCTGCCAGCTGGATAGCTCTGCAGTAGCACATCCCCACCCAAAACTTTACAGCAAGGGAACCTGCTGACCATATGTACCCTTTACATAACTATCAAACCATGTGTATTAGGTGGTCTGGAATTTAACAATGAATTTGCTCGTTCTGATTACAACTTTCAGAAAGTATTTCAGGGCAAACAGATTATTGGAACTTATCGCATGGAAACTTCTAACTCACCTCATGTTCTCCTTCACTCAAAAAATTATGATGAATCTCAGTCCCAATTCTCTTATGATTGAGTGCACTCAGTCTTAAGATAATTTTTTTTTCATAATGCACCTCATTTTGGTATTTAATTCTATGGAGCTTGACGGGGAGTTAGAGAGTAGGGTATAAGTGGAACACCTCAAAAGTAAAATGTGTTCCACTGCAGTTATGCATTCATTTTTCCTTCCATATTTTCCTCTCTTTATCATCATATTAACACTTGACCTTCAGAGCAAGCTTTCCTGTACCATCATACTAGACTTAAGTAAAATACCTACTCCCTAGTATATTAAAATCTTTGTAATATTTTGTGGCTAACAAATTGGAGAAAATGTTTTGAATGTGAAAGGAGGCACGGATTTTTGTGAGTGATATCTTTTGCTGGACTAGCAGCATGGCTGGGATAGACTTAGACAAGCTTCTGGGTACCACAGTTGAAAAGTATCAAATACTATTTTAAGTCACTAACATCAGTGATTTTTTTTTTGTTGTAATTGGTAGCTTTTCACTAATAATTGTGCTTTTTAATTTTTGCCTGGTTGCAGAATTGCAACTTAAAAAAAATGTTTGCAGAAGATTTACAAATCTAAAATGTGAATAAACTTATTTTGATTTTTTTAATGTAATTGGAGTATTTTTTTTCTATTAAAAACATTTAAAAAAAGAAGATAAGGATGAACATTGGGTTGGGGCTAGAGAAAAATATTAATTCATACTGGATTTTATTCCAGGCTCTTTCACAGTAAGTTGTGTGGAAAAGTAGTAGTCACTTGAAAGGGACATGAATTTGATCTAATAGCATCTACAGTGATATTACTAATTTTTCTTCTCTCCTGTTGTGTGGATCTTTTGCATATCAGGGGAAATGGTGAAGCTCTTCATATGTAAACCGCTGTTATATGCACAAACTGAAATAGAAACAAAAACTTCAGACAGATGTCTGATTTTTAACATAATGATAAAAGTCTATACATCTGTGCCTTAGTCCCCTATCTGTAAAATAGAAATAATAATAACACCTACCTCACTGAGAAGTTGAGGCTTATATCATTAATGATGAAAGGAGCTTTAAGCTCTTCCAACACAGATTTGAAGTTTTTTTTAGAATGTTTGAAAAAAATAGTCCTCTTTTTTTATCGATTATTGAATCTTTCATTTACTATAAGAAATGTTCTCCTCATTGGTTATTTACAGGAATGGGAATTGTGAATGTACTCTGCATCTATTTTTAATCTTACTGCTGTACATAATTATATAAAAGAGTAACAAGAAACACATTTGTCATGATTTGGAAACAAATTATTTGACTCTTGGGTGTAATTTTCAGTATTTTTAAATGTGTATGTAAATGTGTGGAACTTCTAAAACACCAGGCTCTTAAGCTGAAAGAGTTGTCATAGGTAAACATTATGGTACAAAGTAAAAAATTTATCAGAAAAATAAATGTGTTGTTTACACCATGCGTGTTGGACTAGTTACTCTGTGTAATTGTCAGATGGGAAATGAATGTGCTTCAAAAAACTGCGAGACTTGTGGTCTAGTGCTTACCTCCAAACATATATGTTCTGTAGAACAAGTGAAAAAAACAATTTCACTTGTGTTTTTTAATTTGTTTGTTTTCTAGTTTACCAATTTTTTTCAAAATTTGAAATCCAAAATTTTCAATATCTTACATTTTTCTTCACTGTACTGCAGTGATATCAATAATGTAGCAGTTTTGTTTTTCGCCCTACTTTTGTCCTGTTTACTAACATTTTAAAAAGTCTCCAACTTGGAAAGTTACCAAGTGGTAGAAAGGAAAAAAAAACACATTAAATTCTAGATCTCAGAAGAGTGAAAGTTTCTCTGGACACTAGTAGATACTGTCCAGAGAAACTTAGTATAGTTCAGCTTTTCCAATAATCCAAGATAAATGAAATATGTTTTTAATGTCGTGTGTGTAGATATGCTGTTTGCTAACTAGAACTAGCATGGCCTGTTTCACAGACTCTGAATTTTACTGTCTGTCAGCATACTGGGAAGGAAGCTAACAAACAAAACAAGCAAGAGTGTGATGGCATAATCTTTGTAAATTCAGTCTCGAGACAGACTTTCCCTAACTACTCGGGTATTAGGATGATTTTACAAGCTTACAAATAACATGAAGCTTCAGTCTCCTAAGCAGGGTATTTTTAAATTTGTTAAACCTTTGTGCATATTATGTTAAGGGACAGTACAATTTCCCTTGG